GCTGGTCCTCCATGTGGGCGCCTCGCCCAGCACTCGGGGGTCACGGGGTGCCGCTGGTCCTCCATGTGGGCGCCTCGCCCAGCACTCAGGTCACAGGGGAGTACATTGAATTATGAATTCAAAAGACACAGTCTCAGAGATAAAATGTATTATTCTTCTCAGAAAGGTGCCATCTAAACAGGCTGTCAAAGGTATAAAAATAATCTAAAAACAAATCGACATCATAGAAACAGAAGGCTGGGAAGGAAATGATTGTAATTTAACCAGTCGAAAGAGAACAAACCAAGTCTAAAAAGAATTCTTACCCTGCTCCTAGAGCTGGGACTCGACAGTCCTTTGTCTTAGAGGAGAATGCTATTCTCTTTGTAAACAGCTGGTCCTGTAACTTCCTCCCCGTTCTCTCAGTGCCACGGGGCAACTGAGATGTGCTTTTACTAAAGCTGTGGACTCTGCAATGCTTTCTCTGTTATAATATCACCACCTACAGCTCAAGCCTAGATCATAACACCTGTATGCTCTTCAAGAATTTTTATACCCTAGGTTTTATTTTTTAGTAATTTATGCTTAATATATAATATAAAATATGGGACTTTTTTTTACCAACTGGATGGTAAAAAAATTGTCTCAATACCATTTAAGAAATAATCCATTTTCCTCTACTTCATTTTCTATTGTCCTTTAAAGTACTGACCTTACCAAACTAAAGTCACACACACCCACACACACGTGCGTGAGCACACGCACCTATTAAGTCTTAACTCTGTTCTGTTGCATTAAGCTATTTATTAATTGTTGTGTTAATACCACAGTGCTTTCACTACCATACTTTCGTAATATGTTTTTGTATTTGGGAGGGCATGAATGTTCCTGCATTATTCTTTCTCAAAATTTTTTGGCTATTACTCATTAATCGCACTAAGATTGACTGGAATTTCACAAAACGCACCTACTAATTTGGGGAAAGCTGATATCTTTATATTACTAAACCTTTCCCCTTAACTAATCCAACTTTCAATTTTACCCTCTGGTTAATAAAAATGTTGGAGCAGAGAACCCAAGCTTCTTCGTATCTTCACCATTCTGTAATTTTAAGATCCTAGAAACTGAATTATTTAGAAAAAAATCAAAACCTCCTGACCAGGAGAGTTAGAGGGGCTGGCCTGGAACTGTTAGATTATAAAACACAGACATTTCTAAGACCAGTGGGAGCTGAACCAATTATCTGATTTGCAAGAACCCTACACATGAATCAAATTTAATAATTATAAACTTTTCAGCCATTTTCTTACCTTTTCTGCATCTTGAGCTTCCCTTGCACTATATTGTAAAACCTCACATTTCTCACTGTAAGAAAAAGCAAGATGAAATTCAATGTAAATTTCCCAAGCTTGCCTTAATGTACAAAATGAATATACAATATTAAAGTCTCCCTACAGATATTAAAACGTGAGTCACCTTCTCTCAACTGGGAATTGTGCTGGGCATGTTCTGGCTCACATGGCTTGACTGTTAAGGAGGACGAGTTAGGAACAGAAATGTGCTCGTGGCTGGATGGACACAGCAGGTCTGTTTCCTGGCGTCCCTTCTCTCTACTTCACTGCCCCCACCCCACGGGCAGGAGAGACCAGTGTCTACCAAGGACAGGGCACACGGCTCACTTCCACTGCCACACAGACCACCTCCAGCTGCAGCACTCATTACAGAAGAGCACAGAGGAGCCCAGGGCCATTACGTAGGCACAGAGAGCAGCCAAATGGTGGGGGACGTGGGGGACACACACACATTACCTGAGCTGCTAATGAAACCCTCAAAATAACCTGTTTCAACCAAACTATGCAGCAGGATAGCAGTAACTCAATTCCCTTAGTCCTCGGTCCTGAGTCTGGACACAACTGGGTCCCAGCAAGAAGGGAACAGCAGATTGCCATTTCCAGCACTTTTGCCCATTTCCTCACCATGTTTATTGTCATTCAAAGACCAGGTTGCCCAGCCAGGAGATGCCTGAAGACCAGCAGGCTAGTAAGTCTGTACCTGGCAAATGAAGGAGGCTGCCTCTGTCACCACCTCCAGACCAACCAGAGGGAAACTGGAGGTCACAACCCCAGCCAGAGAGGCCAGAGAGGCCACTCAGACCAGGAGAACACGGGAGAGCCCATCACTGCAGAATCATTTGAGGCCCCTTCCAGCAAGGGGACAGTGAAATGTCAAGGATGGATTACTGCTTCCCATGATCATCTGCTTGGCATAAATGAGGGACATTTCCTCATTTAGGCATCTTTATACCAGAGCACCCTCCTCTGGATGGGATGTAAATCTACTCCCCCAAGAATTTACACCTATACTCAGAAATCCAGATACAACCTACTATAACGGTATCAAACGTCACCAACTCTGCTAATGACCTTCAATGGGCCACTAGTTTAATTAACTGAGTTAGTATAGATAAGGTACCTGTATTAAGTATCATTATTACTGGCTCATATTAATTCCAAAGAGTAAGAAAAAAGTTTCTAGGCACTATAATTATATATAAGCCTGTATTATATAATCCAAAGAAAGTTATCCAACTAGATAACAGTTTCTAACCGCGACTAGCCCACTGCCTTTCTTGGATCCCTATAAAGATGAACAGAAATGGTCAGAAACTATAAACATGACAAATGATGAGTCCATAAAGTTAGGAGAATAAACTCACTGCATTTGCCACTGAGGCTGAGAAGTACAAGGTCACCCTAAGTATAGGACTTACTGCGTTTCCTCCTCAACTGCCTGGAACAACACAGTTACTATGAAAAGTCAGGTACACGGTGACAAAGGGGAATAATATCCCCCTGCAAGTCACGCAAGCCAAAACTAAACTAAAGTGTGTAGGAGACAAAAGCTGCAAACACTCCGGGATGATCAAGGGAACAGGGCAGCACTGAGACAACATTATTTCTTCTCATGCAACAATATGAAGGGTCACCCTTGACGTATCTGTCACAGAGTGAGCATGAGAGACCAGGAAAATACAGGACAGAGACTTGCAACACACATAACTGAGCAGACATTCACTAAGCCCCTGTCAGGCGGCAGGCCCCATGTGGGGCGAACAAGATGACAAAGACAGGGCTTCTCAGCCTCCAGAAATTCGAGACCCCAGACCATCTACTGAAAACAACCTACAGAACCAATTTTATGGCCTAACATTTCCATGTTCCATGTGATTCGATTCAACAGACATTTACATTCTGGGTGCCTATGACGGGCACAGCATCATGCCAAATGCCTCAGTAACAACACACCGACAAATAAAAGAGGGCAAACTCATCCTCCTGTGCTGGGTCACCCCTGCCTCTCCTTCCCATGATTTGTGAAGGGAGGCTAAAATGAAGACAGCGACCGTGTGGGTCTCAGCAATGTGGAGATATCTTCAAAGGCCCAAGGAGCCAACTCAATTCCCACTGCAACAGCATCCTGTTCCCACAGACACAGGGAGGCCACAGGGAGCCCCACGCCCGCTGCTTCCTGAAGCCACAGATTCCCCTCCATGGGCTCCCCCAGCCCCTCAGCCGCCTGAGAACAAGATTAAAGAATGGATATTTACAAAGTACGCTCAGTCGCAGGTTGGTCACATAGTGCTCCCTTCCCATCTGTGAAATCTCAGCATAAAAGTGTCTTCTCAGACAGGCCTACCGTATCCTGTCTGAGCAACCACTGTGTCTCCAGCGAACACTGACACTGACAGTAACACTCACGGAGCTGAACAAATATTTGTTAACAAGTGAATGGACTAATCTTTGTTAAACCAAGCTCTAGCTCATACTTATTTATGATACATTTGTAAGCAAGGTAACGAGGATACATAACATACACTCCTAGGATTTTGGTCAGAGATAAAAAAGTCAGAAAATACACATTCCTGTGCTACATTAGTTGGTTGTGCCTCTTAAAATGTCACAACACGACTATTTAGGAAAAGGCTGAAATGTTCTTTACGCATTCTTGCACAACATATACAGAGACAGTGAAGCATCCACATGTCTCAATACGCTAGTGAGAAGAGCTAACAAGGGAGGGACCAACGCAAACGAAGACGAGACCTTGAGAACTTCTCCCACAGCAGCCATCAACCCCGTCAAGTAAAGGTGCTCTGACCTTTACTTGGTCACTTCAAACACTGACACTCAAGCTGAAAAATATTTCTCTTATTCAATTTTGATTTTATTGTTTAATTACTAACAGTCTAACAATTTTATCTTCTAAGGTTGTTCTTTGTAAATAAACAGTATTTAACTAAATGACAGTTTAAATAAGTCCAGGAAACCCAAAATTGTTCCTGTGGGAAAATACGTTCTGAATTCTAAACACAAAGACTTATAAACTTTAGATTATAATCTATTTGCGATAGGTTTCTGGAAATTTATGTAAAGTCTGGTATTTTTAGTGAAATTTCATAGTGAATTCCCAAGATAAAACCTCAAGATGCAAGTACATCACCAAGCTGCAGTACAATCGTGGTCTATAATTCAATGCTTAAAATAATGCACATTGCACAGAATACTTCACATATTTGTTCTTCTAAACGTGACAAACGACTTGTATTTTAAGTGGCTCCCATTAATCCATACAGCTTGAGCTGCTGGACAGAATTCACTTTAACGATGAACAGACTCTATCTGTTCAAAAGACAAGAGTTGAAATCACAGCAAGATGAAGTGGTGAGAAACAAACTCACAAGGCTTAACAAATCTACGGGGCAGAAGGGGCAGGAGCTGCAATGAAATAAAATCTATACTATAATATGATATTCATTTGGAAAAATAAAATTAAGCGCACACACACATACTCATATGTATGCCTACATATAGTTCTTATAACACAAACCACTGCAGGCAGAGCTCCACCACATGTCCCTGACAGAGGATACAGTACAACAGTTCCCAGCACGTGTGCAGTGTCTGCAGGAGTGCATGGTACAGTTTGTAACACAATCGTAAACTGGGTGAAGGCTCCCTCTTTTCAGGTAGACAAGTTAAAATAAACCTATTCTGTGGTTACTATCATGTGCTACAAACACAAAACATCAACAACAAAAAAGCCCTCTCTTTTACGTCATCTTGGCTTGCCCAGTGGAGTGGACAAGCGACGATTACCAAAATGAAAGCATAGAGCTCGGGCCAGAGGTGGCGAGAACTGGCGGCAAACGCCAGTGCCAGAATAAACACGCAAACAAGAGGACAACGATGCCACTTACAAGGCTGAAGTGTGACTGGACGCCTCGCTAACCGTGCCAGCTCTACATATACGACAGACATGAAGTGTGACTCGACGCCTCGCTAACCGTGCCAGCTCTACATACACGACAGACATGAAGCGTGACTTGACACCCCACTAATGGTGTCAGCTCTACAAACACAACAGACACAAAGCGTGACTCGACACCCCGCTAACCGTGTCAGCTCTACAGACACAACAGACATGAAGCGTGACTCGACGCCCTGCTAACCGTGTCAGCTCTATAGACACAAGACACACGAAGCATGACTTGATGCCCCGCTAATCGTGTCAGCTCTACAGACATGAAGTGTGACTCGATGCCCCGCTAACCGTGCCAGCTCTTCATATACAACAGACATGAAGCGTGACTTGACACCCCACTAACGGTGTCAGCTCTACAGACACAGCAGACACGAGGCGTGACTCAATGCCCTGCTAACCGTGTCCGCTCTACAGACACAACAGACATGAAGCATGACTCAATGCCCTGCTAACGGTGGCAGCTCTACAGACACAACAGACACAAAGTATGACTCGATGCCCCACTAACCATGTCAGTTCTACAGCCACAACTGACATGAAGCGTGACTTGACGCCCTGCTAACGGTGGCAGCTCTACAGACATAACAGACATGAAGCATGACTCAATGCCCTGCTAACCGTGTCAGCTCTACAGCCACAACAGACATGAAGCATGACTTGACGCCCTGTTAACGGCGGCAGCTCTACAGACATAACAAACATTCTGGTCAGGGCTCTGATGTGCACTTTCCCTTCTGGGTGTCTGAAGCTGGAGACAAAGAAAGAAAGACACAAACCTGGAAATTCAGTAAGGTTTACACTGCCAAAAAAGAGGCCCATCTCATCCATGTGTAGTAAGACTAAAGCTCTTGAGCAATGATGACAAAAGCCCTTTACACTTGAAAAACATCCAAATTCAAATCAACCTAGGAAGACATCAAGGGAGCTTTTTCCTCCAAAGTGTGTTCTCTGCTTCTTGTGAGAGAAAGCGGCACCATAATACTAGGAATTAGCCCAGGCCATGAAGGGCCCATGGTAACCACAAGAACCTAACATCTCACATTCTCAGTGCCTCCTAACAAAGACTCCGAATGCCAAGTTGGGGTTTCTGCAGTGACGTAGGAAACTTACCCTGACCTGTGTGATTTCTGAGGAATGATGAGTGGGTAACGACACTCTGGAAACAGAGCTGCTGTTTTCAAGTCTGGGAAATCACCTCAAAGGCTGACAGCATTTCTGAGGCTATGGTGACACTCATCACACTCAGCAGACTGAACTGGAGCCGGCAACTGAGTGTCCACGGCAGCACCCAGCAATGCTGGGTCCATGACCAAGTCCTAGTGAAAACCTATCCTTAGGAACCACTGTGTTGGTCACCACCAAGCAACAACTTTCAAAACTCTGTGCAGCCTGCACCTGGCTATAAAGTTAGTTAGGTAAAAAACAGAGTTAGAGGGGCTGGCCCCGTGGCTTAGCGGTTAAGTGCAAAGCGCTCCGCTACTGGTGGCCCGGGTTCGGATTCCGGGCGAGCACCGACGTACCGCTTGTCCGGCCATGCTGAGGCGGCGTCCCACATACGGCAACTAGTAGGATGTGCAACTACAACAAACTACTATCTACTGGGGCTGTGGGGAGAAAAAGGGAAAGGAAGAAGATTGGCAATAGATGTTAGCTCAGGGCTGATCTTCCTCACAAAAAAAACAGAGTTAGACATCAGATTGTCTGCCCTGACTTGTGAGGTTCTGAACAGTCTTCTGCTCCCCAGTGGGATGCACCAGTCACCAGAGAGAACGTGCCTGGCTAGTTTATCAGCTGAGGAGGAAGCTGTCTGATTGTCAGCGCTATGAGAAGCGACACCTTCCTGAATCCTGGGGAGACATATTTGACCTGTGGAGTACTCGAGACTTCACAAGCTAACTTCCAATACAGTTCAAGTACAGACAGCCAAATTAAGCAATGGATACTTATAATTGTTGCTGAACATATTTCTTGATCAGGAAGTCCTCAAAGATAAGCTCTTGAAAATAACTGCAAGGTGAAAGGAAACCTCACCTTGTCTGCAAGCTGAATTCAGGCATTATTTCCCTGCTGTTATCACGAAAAATCCTATTTGAGAACCTGTCAGGAAGCCCTTTCTCAGTGATATTTTTGTAACCAGAAGATATCCAAGAGGGATTTTTGGGACTGAAATTCTAGGGTCAACTATCTCTGATTATTCTGTTTATTCACACAGCTCTATATATTCCCCCGGCAAGATTTACAAGGCTGCTTTGTTTGCACTTCTGGTCCTGAAAACACAGCAGTACAACAGGAGGAAAGGAACATACAGTTCACCGTCTTTGCTGCTGCCTACAAGAGAAAAGCTTATCACAAGCAAGCAGACGTGATATAAGCACAAATGCCTGTTCCAATTTAAAAATCAAACTTTTCTTCCAAAATCACTATGCCTTGCTTTGTTTTTATTCAAAATTTTATAGTTACTTTGAAATTTTAAACAAGGGCATAAGATTTTTAGGTATCAAAAGAGGTTTAAGTTTAAAAAAAGTTTAAGAAATACTACTAGAAACCTTCCATAAAAGCATTATTCACAAAACCCAGTTTTAATTGCACTTGAGTGACAGTAGTAAATGACTTCCCTTACGCACAAATATCCTCAGGATCATAGAATGGCAAGCGAGACGGTAGATGAAAATAGATTTCCCTTGTGCTTTCGATAAAGAAAAAAAGAGGGAGGAGAAAGAGAAAAGGTCTGGTGGTGTTTTCATTTATCTAAACATCGCTTAAGATATCATTTAAAAGTATACAGACTGTTTATTTTTCATGAATTTTCTGTATGGATTCACTGAGCACTTAGCTGTCACCTAAAGTAAAAATACATGAGTTCTCTAATGCTAAAACCTGTGATGAAATAGAGCTTCAGCTTATTTCTAGCATCAAAAAATGTTAAAAATGTAACAAACAAAAAAAGTACTGATAAAATAAGCAAACCAAAAACCAGCCAACGAACCAAAAACTCCACCAAATCAAACTGAAATGTCTGCTGTCATTCATGCTTAAAAACAACAGATTGAAACAGCCCAGACAACACCAACATCATAAACAACTATGCATAAAGGCATTCTAGTCATATAAATAAATCACGCACTCGGCTCACCTCATTTCAGGAAGGAAGGTTTTCTTATACGCATTCTCGATGTCCTGAAGATAGGCAGAGGTGATCTTCATTTCGTGTGGCTAGACAAAACAAGAAAAATGAAACCTTTAGATTTCTTTTCTTTTTACCTGTGCTAAGTAAAATGTGAAAACAATCAACCAACACTGTTTTCTTCGAAGAACTCCAGCTAGGCATTGTAGGGACTTTGGGGTGATAGAAAGGGGCCTCAGTACCAGTTAGAATTATTCTCATTCTCCTATAGTGAGCACCTAAGTTTGGCCAGGTGAAACCATAGCATGACGTCTTTCACAGGCTCTAGGATGCTTACTTAGAATAGGGTCAGAAAGAATCCCCTTTTACAGTTACAGGGCCTGGCTTTCCTGTTTCACTGCGTGCTTGAGGGTGGGCAATGAAAGATTATAGACAACGTGAGGGGGAACTGGCCCACCTCTCCCCCATCCATCCTCAGCACCCTCCTCTCCGTCACCGACTCTCTCCATCCTTACCTCTTCTCTACCACTCACTCATCCCCCACCACCTCTCCCACTCTCTCCATCTCTCACGTCCCTCAACATCTGAAGTTTGCTAAGCCAATTTCAGAAATTTAAAACTCTAATTATGAGTGGCAAGTTTCAATATTTAAAATCTTTTATAGTTTAGCAATGCTAAGGGCTAAGTTACATTATCTTTCATCTTGTTTGACTATCTGCATGGCAGTTACCTCCCTCGAATGTCTTTCTTATTTACTCCCTTGTTTACCATAGGTCTCGCCCACTGGAATATAAGAACACACACTTATTATGATACGATGTTTCTTCGAGAAAATGTCTCCTTTTCTCACACACAGTGGTAATTTTAGCTGGTGACAGTATTCATCAAGACTTTACTTAGAAAAACTAAAAAGTTGATAGCTCTAATTTGGACCTCAAAATTGTTTCTGAAATATTATTATCCCAGATAACAAAAGAGTTATCTAGAGAATTCTGAATCTATGTCTTCATTTTTCTCAATAAACGTCACTGCAATAAGCAAAGGTATTCAAGACTATTCCATTGAGTGAGAATTAAGTATTTTTGACTTGCAGGTCCCTCCTTTTGCCACTTGATGGAATGTTCTTGAAAGTCTAAATTACATCATACTTAAGAGTAAACTCTTAAGTAATAAAAGGTACAGACTGGCAGTAAATAGGGAGAGACAGATGTCACATATGGGTTTACTACTGAAAGATGGAGGAAGACACTGAGTCTTCCGGGGTCTTTCAGCAGCAGCAAAGGATACGGAGCTGTTCTGTTGCCCTTACAGGAACCCACCACTCAGCAGGTATTTTCCTTTTTTTTTTTTT